TTTTTTTTTTTTAAAGAAAAAGGTTATATTCTTAAATAGTAAGTATTCTTTTTTTCTTTAAAGAATAATACAAATATAGCAMAAAAAACTTTTAAGGAGTTTGCTACTTAGGGGGAAAAGAAAAATCAAATGTAGTGCTTCTTTTAAAAATACATACCACGGATAATGAGTGTCTTTGCMTGTCTTCTAAATTGTTTTCGGAGAAACTAAAAGTTAGTTAAAACATTAAACAGTATTTTTAAGTACTTTTTTAAAATTTTTTATCTTTATTTTATAATCAAAGGTAATTTAAGTGCTTTTAGATAAGACATTTTATTAATCTTCTTGCAAAACAAATATTTCACTTAGAAATACTTTTCTCAAAACACATTCCAAACTGACCCACGGTTTGGACGTCTTGTATAAGTCTATGATTTGAGTGTTATTACACTTCTAATAAGTCATTTAATAGAAACACGTAATAAATACTACTGAGACAAGTGTTTGAGTTCATATATAATAACCAAAAGGTTAAAAAATATATTYGGTCCCTAAAGTAATAATTTAGTCCTTAAACTTTAATTTGTAATGATTTAGTCCCCGTATTTTCTCTAAAGTAATAATTTAGTCCCTGAATATTAACTTGTAACGATTTAGTCTCTGTAATTTAACATTTGTAACAATTTAGTCCCTATCGTAAAAAAATTTATTAAAATTAAGTGTCAAATTTAACAAAAAAAAAATTCAAGATAAGGACTAAATATTTACTAGTTTTAAATTACAATGACTAAATTGTTACATGYTAAAGTTCAAAAGCTAAATTGTTATCAATTTGAAAGTACAGRGACTAAATTGTTACAAAATAAAGTTCAAGGACTAAATTGTTACTTTAGCGAAAATACAGGGACCAAAAGTGTTTTAAAACCTAACCAAAAGAGAGAATTTAAAACTTCTGTTCAATTAATAAAAAACCAACAAGGACAAACAATTTTTTAACCCAAAGTTGAGACGGAAATAATATTTTCTTTTAAAAGTTGAGAGATTAAAATAATTTAAAAACCAAAATAAAACCAGTAAAAAATTTTAAGACCCAAAATATGATTTTAAACCAAGAAAATGTAGGAAAGGGAAAGAACCTGTAGCTATGGCAGATCCATTGAGCCAGTGTAAGGGCTTCTGGACAAGCAGATGATAGTTTCGGTTCTCGGGGCAAGCTTAATCCAGAGGGAGATATGGCGACTGCAACCCTCTGCACGGCAGAGACGACACTCCGAACATACTGTCTCGCCATTGCTGCAACGTCGTCCTGCAGGTTGCTACCGAACGGGAACTGGAAAGCGATGGTCAAAACCGACCTGAAATTATGAGAAGTTGATGCAGCAGCAGAATCTTGGGGAGCATATGAGCCAAGTTCAAGACTTGAAGTAAGATCTAGAGTTCTGTTTGAGTTCCATGCATCTTTTGGGTCACCCTGAATGATTAAACCAAACAAAAAAGGAACATGTTGRTCATGGGGATCAGACTTCAGTGAGAAAAAGATTCAGCAAAAGGGTGAACAATTATATCAGAAAGGGAATAATATATCTCGGTTTTTCTTTTAATTTACGTCAGGTGATCTCGTTAACTAACTGGTCTAACTATGACATTTGATGTTAGAAAACTCGACTCGAAGAATATCGTAAAGTGTTTCGTGAATCATCAGAAAGAACACTTTTGAAAGCAAAATGTCCTCAGAAAGCAGTTCTCAGTGTAAGGAAATCAAAGTTTAAAAGGGAAGTTATAAAGGAAGAGAAAAAAAGGTAAAAAATTTATGTGATTTTTTTTTTCCAAATTAAATATTCAAAATTTGTATATTATATTTATTTTTCGATATTCATTATCCATTTTATAGGAAAAAATAATACTTTTATCTATGTTTTTGAAAAAAACCGGAAACAGAATAAGAAACTTGATTTTAATATTTTTAAAATTTCTATACAATCTTGGAAACATTGTTAAACATGAAGAATGAAAAATAGAAACAGTTACTAAATGCTTGTGGCTTTCAAACATCGAAAATGAGAAACATGAAACGGAACGATGTTAGACGGGTCCAGACTAACCACTAAATTTTCCTATTTGTTCTAAAAAGTTGAAAATCAAACATATTCCAAGATGGAAAAACCAGGTTTACACAACAATTTTACCCAAAAAAATGGATTTTAATAATTTTGAACAGGTGAAACACAAAAAATGCATGAGATTAGATAAAAAGAAGCACAATTGAACTCAACTGTTTTAGAATGCAATGGGATGATCCTGAAACCAGAAGGCAGCAGCACAGCATCATCAGGAAACATCTCATCAATCGGAGCAAACACAAGTTCGGAACACGCCCCGACCGCATTCTCATCTATTCCAGTACACATCTGCCCGACACAAGAATCAAGAGAGAAATTAAACTCACACACACAACAAACTATCAGAACTCTTCTTAGCAAGCTATTGCAGTTGATTGGCCTCCCGATCCAGGGGCAAAATCGGAGAGATTGAAAAGACGGTACCTGCAAGAGATGGATGTCCCCGGACATAAAAGCATCTTCTTGAGCAAGAGGGTGGCTTTCAAGCCTCACAACTTCAAGCAACTGGATGAACATAAGAGAAATACTAATAAACTTCAAGCAACTGGATCAACAAAGATAAAACTAAGTTAATAGATCGTCGTATACCTCTTCTTGTTCAATTGTATGCCCGAGCGGCATGATGATTTGGCTCCCCGTAAACCTGGTCGGTCTCATTCCCGGGTAAGCATATGAACCGGTTTTCAATGAAGCAGCAGAATATGCATCGGCGTTGAAATCAGCCCACTCGGAACGATGCTCTCTCAAGAAGCGAATTAGAGCAATGGGAGGAACATTCTGAAAGGGAGACCATAATTAACGAACTCATTTAACTTACAACCAAACAAGAAATCCACTGATCTGTACCAAAATTGGTCTGATTTAGAAATCATAACAGTAGAATGTTCAGAAAGGTACGTAAGCTTCAAGTTAATAGCTGTTTGGAAACATCCCTGACCAGATAAATATGCCTATAATTTACGACTATTTCAGTTCCTACAATTTCAAAAGTTGATTGACTGCCTACCTAGAGTTGCATGGAATCCCTCAAAACGTCTTATTACCCAATGTTAACCGTTACTTCGTTATGTTACACATTTTCTTTAGATATAAGCTTATCACCTCTCTCCATCACATCTAAATGAAACGTGTCCGGTAAGAAAATTGTTAACATCAGGGATTTCTGGGGCATGGAATAGAGATTGCCGTGCTATGATGGAATGGAAGAGATTCTTATGAATCCTTCCTATCGAGATAGGATTTAATCCTTCGACATGTGTGTTCTTTTTGGTATTTTATGGGTATTTTGCTGGAGAGATGGTAGGATTTATCGAGAGGTTGAAGGACTAGAGAGGTTTGAGATGTGGTTAGGTTCAACTCTTCCCTTAGAACGTCCATCCATCTCTAAGCCGTTTTATAATTCTAGCTAGGCCTTATTCTTGTGGATTGAAAGTCTAATTTTGCACAATTAGATTTAGAACTCAGGCTGGCTTTTTGTGTTAACAAGGATAACGGCAATAACGTTTTGGGAGATTTAACTAAATCAGGATCTCGAAGACCCTATTGAGACCAAGCATAAAGTATAGGTACAAAAATGGTAAGTTTAACAAGGGAAATCCTTTAAACATACTTGGAGAAGCATGGAAGCCTTTGCACAAAGGATTCCCCCATGGAATGCAAGAGAATTGACTGGATCATATGATGTATTTAAATTCTTGCTTGAATTTATGGCAAGGGTCACATCTTCAGCTCCATCACAATTGATCAAAGACCACCCATCATCATTAAATCCATTGACAGCATCATTAAATCCTCTACAAGAAGATAATAAAGGAAAAGATCTTCAAAGTGTTCTTATTCCAACCATGTTAAAGTTAAGGGGAAAAATGCATAAGAAACCTTCATCTTGTGGAAAAAAAAAATCACATATCTACCTGCTCAATCTTTGGCTAAAAGTTCGAAGAACGGCCGGTTGCCTGCCTAGACTGTATACTACTTCACCACTAGTCTCCTGAGCAATTTGCCTAACGTAACGAAGAGCCTACATGTTGAAAGTCAGGGCAAGGAGATGATTAAAATTCAAAGACTAATCGAATGCTCAAAAAGGCCTTAGTGACAATATCGAACAATATTGAAACATATCTGAATTTACTCACTGCTATAGTCATTTTCTGGGCCACGCCCTTTGACGACTCGTAAAGCGGTCGTACTACCTCTGGTACACTCCAGGGCTATTGAATTATACAGTTGCTTAGCGATTTTGCCTCCTGAAATAGTATTTATAAAGTGAAAGCCGAAAAGTCAAACCTCAAGATTTAGGTGGTCTACAATGTGGATGATTGAACCTCCACCCTCGCACGGACGAATCAAATAGCCACTGGGAAGCATTTCAGCTCTCACAAACTGAGCGGCAGAAGCAGCATTAGGCCCAGTGCCAGATCCGGACAGAGATCTTTCACAAACCTGAAGGGGAAAAACTAAACTAAACACATACAATATGGGGGAAAAAAAGGATATCAAATGTAGAAAAGGAGGCGCTTTTACCACAAGATTGCCATTTTCCAAAGTTCTGGTGTATCTTAGAGTCCAAAAATCTCGGGCAGGCGCTAATGTCGTAGGAGCGTAAACCTAAAGTAATAAGTCAGCCCATCATTGATTCCCTCTAGAACTATGTCACTAACTAGCTAACAGAAAAATTGTAATAGATGTCCATAACCGAGTTCACCTGTGTATAAACAAGTTCGATCGTCCCTCCATTACCAGTGGGGAATGTCGTAAAGACTTCAAGGCTTCGGCAATCACGGAACCAAGATGGACGATCTTTTAGGATCTCTGTAATCTGCAGAAGTACTATCGATTTTGAGCAAATATATAAAACTCACAATATTTACAACCATAACATACACATTTTTTGAGCAGTAGTATGAGGATTTTTGCTCACTTCAAAGTTTTCTTATCTAAAATAAAATAAAGTAGTATGAGGATTCATGCCTTCATGGGCTCTAAACTGACAAGACCACAGGCTCGAGCAGCCACTCCACTGCAACTTTGCGAAATGGCAAAAATTCCCACCGAATCCGGACCAGGCTGAACGAAATATATCCACAATTAACGAGGCTTAACAAGGCTATTAAGCAAAGGAAAGCCAGATTATGAACAACATATGAAAGTAGTGGGAAAAGACGGGGCAAAAACTCGAACCTTCATCCCAGGCATCTGGACCCAATCGACAGCAGTTCCTGTAGCCTTTGACAGGAAGGCTGCCAAAATCTCCTCTGCAAAAGACAGGAGTCTGCGATAATTGTAACAGATTAGAAAAAAGAAGAGTAACCACACAACTCGTTGAAGAACACAAGAAATAGCATAAAAAATGTCTCTAGAATTACCCAGCAGGGTTACTAGCATCTCTAAGTGAATGCTGAGGGGTGGCAGCCACTGAATCACAGCTTGCATCAGTAGTTGTCGCTGCCGGTGCCTACAAAACAAATGCAATTCTAAACAAGCGACGAACTATCACCTGAAAACACAATAATCCAGAAGTATACCGCTCGTTTTCGAGCTATCGTTTCCTTAAAACTTCACAACTAGACAGCCTATTTTCAAAGTGAAATAAGACAATAAGCACAGAATCGTTCAACGGTAAGAGAGATTACACAAGTAAGATGATGATATTATCTCAGAAAAACAAAAAGTAGAAACAGGAGGAGAAAGGCATACATTAGCAGTTTGCAAATGTTGCCGCATACACCCATTTTCACTGACGAGCTGAGACACTTGTTTCTGCAACCGATCATTCTCCTCCATCAACAGCTTGTTCATGGCCGTCAGTTTACTGTTCAGTGACTGTAAACGAGAAGCCTCTTTCCTCTGCTTCTCTCTACACCTACAGGACCAACCAAACCCCCCATCATCCTTCTAACTCCCAAAAAAAAGCAAACACAAAAATCCAACTTTTTCTTTTTTGATGAGAAGCCGAGCTTTCGTCGAGGCAAAATGAAAGAATACAAAAAGGCATACAAAAGGAGAGCCCAAGCATACAAAAAGGAGCTCCACCTCAAAATAATAAGACCGAGAGGATAAGAACACAACTCCTTAGAAACCGACACCCAAACAAAGGCATTAAACCTAACAAACACGCCCAAACCTCCTCTCTTCAATAACTTTCCAAATCCCTAAAAATCCTATTACTCCTCTCAATCCAGAGGCCCCAAGAGAACCACACTACCACAAAATCCTGCCTCTATCATGAAAGGGAGATTCTACAATGGAGAATCAACTTCACAACAATCGAGATTCTAGTAAAACCAAAATGCACTGAAAATGCCATTAGTATACCATTTCAAAAGAAGAAAAAGAACAAACACGAGAACCCCATTAACAATCCTTCTCATACCTGCGGTTCTGGAACCAGACTTTGATCTGCTTTGGCTCGATGTTGGCCAAAATGGGGCAATCGCGAACCAGCTGCTGGCGGCGCAAAGAGCTCGGTTTAGGACATTCCGCATAGACTCGCTCCAGAGCCTCCACTTGCTCCGCCGTGTACCGGACGTACTTCCCGGAGCTGTCAAGGTGGCCGTTGATACCCCCATCGCCACCCTCTCTGTGATGGGCCATAGCCATGGCCATTTCCCCCAAATCGAAGCTCTAAAACCTCAAACACACAGAAAAATGGCCTTGGTAAACTCCGCCAGGTGTGAAATGGAAAAGCTAATGAGACAAAGTTGGAGAAGAAAAAATCACAACAAAAATCTGTTGGGTTTTCTCTTTTCTTCCTCTTCCTCTCCCCCTTTTCCCCCCTTTTCTGTTTCTGAAAGAACTGAAAGCTTAGCAATAGAGAATCGTCAAGCTTCGACCATGGTTTCACATAACTTTTCTTCCTTTTTTTTCTCTCTTTTGGCTCCAAAAATTTCCCAGAAAGTTCCAAATGCTAAAACCTCAGATTCCTCGCTACTTTTAGAAACCCCCAACCCCCTCTCCTTGCCTCCCACTTTACCCCAAATCTCCCAAATTCCAACACCCGCTTAGATTACCAAAATCCCACTTCGTATTCCCAAAAATGTATAAGCTCCAACTGAAGAACTAAAACTTCACCCAAAAACCACTTCAACTCACACTAAAAAAAAAAAAAAACTCCTCAAGACTATCGATTGAAGAACAACCCACCAATTCCGCAGAAAAATCGAACAGACCCATGAAACATTAAAGAAGAAAAGAGCAACAGACCCTCTTCAGGCGATTAAATTACAACTCCAAAACTCTCACAAATATATAATATGCATATAGAGAGAAAGAAGAAAGAGGGAAAGGGTCTGGTATGGAATGGTGCAGTTGCAGAGAATCAGAGATGATCCAGTTCTTCAAGGTCGCGAAAATGGGTTGAATTTCCTTTTTTCTTTTAAATCTTATTTTGAATTTCCTTTTTCTTGAGTTTCGTCGCTGTCGATAGTGTTTGTTTGAAATGACATGATAGACAGGTAGCTCTTAGGCCCCTCCGTCAATCTGTCTTTCAATTCTTTGACAGAAGAATGACAAAAATCTTTTTATATAATAACATTCTTCTATTTTTTTCTATTCTTTTTCAATGTTTTTCTTTTTCCTTTGTTCTTCATGTTCAAAGATCTCTTTTGAGGTTTTTTTTCTTCTCTGATCCTCTTGGCCGTCGACTTTCCAGATTTCTCAAAGAGATGGCAAAAACCATCTATATATTGTTGTAAAAGTAGTTCAATTTTGGAGTTAGAATAATAAAAGAAAAGTTACCTTAATGTCATTTTTTTAGTTTTTTTTTTTGTTACTCTATGTTTGATAATTGATTTCATCGATATTGGATCATTCCGGTTTAAAAGTTCAAGAATTAAAATAAATATTTCAGAGTTACGGCATCAAATTAGAATAAATTTGGAAGTTTATAATATTTTAAAAATTTTAAATCAAAATGGGATAGAATCTAGACTTATCAATTATTTAAAACTGAACTAAAGAGGGAAAATTATGATATGCTTTCAAAACATATTCCATTAATTAATTCAACACGCCTAGTGGGCCTCGAACCCACAATCGCCTGATTAGAAGTCAAACGCCTTATCCATTAGGCCATAGGCGCTAGTACATGCACACATTCTTATAAAATTAAAACTAACTTTTTCTCAAATACAACTAGAAGAGAGAGATCGAACTTACAACTTCTTGATTTGAGATGTATGTTAATTATCATCGAACTATGTTTGTTTTGGCAAATTAAAACTAACCTTTTTAAACTCAGGCCACATTCTTATATTTTTAATCAACATTAATGATCTTCAACATAATAATTTAAAAATATAACACATATAAGTCAAGATTTACTTTAAAAGATCATTAATGATTTATTAAATTATAAATGTAGTTTACAAATTTTGATGGTAGTGTTTATTTAGTTTCTAGTACTTGAAAAGTTGCAATTACATCTATTTGAGCATGATTAATAAAATGATAACATATCAGATTTATTACATAAATATTGATTGCTCTCGCATGATATAGAGAATCAATGATAAACTAACATGAACATAATTCAACTGGTTAATGTATTACATACTTTTCTTTAGGTTGAAGATTCGAATCCTCCACCTCTCACTAAAAAAAGGTTAAAAAATAATTTTGGTCACTGTATTTTCATTAAAGTAACAATTTAGTCCCTGAATTGTAGTTTGTAAAGATTTGGTCAATGTACTTTCACATTGATAACAATTTAGTCCTTGAATTTTAGTATGTAATAATTTATTCCTTGTAATTTAAAGTTTGTAATAATTTAGTCCCTATAGTAATTTTTTTGGTTTTGTTAAATTTCTTATATACATAAATAGATTAATCGATAAGGGGCCAAATGTATTTATAAATTACAAAGACTTAATCGTTATATGATAAAAATCGACACTTAATTTTGAGAAGACTTTTCATGGTAGGGACTAAATTGTTACAAATTTTAAACTATAAGGACTAAATTGTTACAAGTTCAAAAACTAAATTGTTAGCAGTTTGAAAGTATAGGAACTAAATTGTTACATACTATTCAACGACTAAATCGTTACTTTTATCAAAAGTATAGGTACCAAACATATTTTTTAACCCATAAAAAACAAAAATAAAAATGTACTTCTATTAACCCGTGCACAATTGAATCGATTGAAATGTTTGTCTTTCTTATCGAACCATGCTCGGATTGAAATATCCATATCTATTTATGCTGATATTTTTCTTTATAATCCTCCTAGGTTAGACTTGTGCAACTAAATGTCCCTCTCTACTAATCTTTATTTACTTGAACATGTCACCTTTCACCAAACCAAAATTCTGTTTGGTTAGTTTTCTACCCTAAAATTACTTTATAAGTTCATCTATGTTACCACATTAAGACTTTCCAGAGCCTCCAAATTTGACCTTACAAAGTATAACTCAACCAAAATTTAATAATGTCTTAAAAGACTCTAATAAGTAATATTAGTCTATGAAATTTGTCAATGTATGAAAAATAAACATATACATACAGATGGGCTTATTTGACCAACAACCTAGTAATTAATTAGTCATCATTTAAAAAAAAAGTGCTCAACCTTTTTAAGTTCATATTCGAAGTGCATAACTTTTTCCTATCGTTTGACTCAACTTAGAAAATCTACGATTCAACTAAAATTCGACCATATTGTAATTAGACATAGCTCAACTAGTTAATCTTACCTCCACATGATATTAAACTGATAAAGAAAGAAAAAACTAAAACTAATAATTTTCGTATAATAATATGTTGTAAAGACTCAAAATATTTTGTCTATGAAATCAGCGACCATAGGAGAGTTTTTAGGACTTATAAAGAGCAAATAATGACTAACTTTAAGTTAATTATGAAATGATTTTAAATGATGCGTGACTAAATATGGATTCACTTTCTACTAAATGTAGATTTATGCTATAATACTTCTTAAAAGTTAAGCATTAATTTAAAATGACCAAGATTAAACTCGAATAAATTGTATTGAATTAAGCCGATAATACAAAGCATAGACAAACAACTTTATAAGCCCAAAAAGCTATAGAATGATGGGACCAAAACCCATATGTATCATACAATCTCCTCAAAGCATACAATATTTTAAGTAATAGTACATGCAATAGAATTATTTCCTTATCAAAGGAACAAAAACTAGAACAAAGAATTTGAGTCAAAAAGAGAATTACACACATCTTTTTCGCACTCAAAATTGTAATAATGGAGCACAAATCTTTGATTTTGTAACACTTTTATAGTTTGTGAACGAGTTTGAAGATCTGGATCAATATTTTCACCTAGTATATTTGCACTACAGTGACTAAATTATTACATATTAAAATTCTGAAATCAAATTATTATTAATTTGAAAGTACAAAATAAATCTAAACTTTGAAGAATATATACTTAATTTATAGAGACCAAAGCTTATATTAAAAGATTAAGTACTCATTTGAGAATTAATTAAAAGATTAAGTACTCATTTGAGAATTAATTAAAGGATTAGGATATGAATTATATATTTTCTTAAAAAAAGAAGTAATTGCTGAAAAATCGTTTATCTGGCGAAGACTTAGGCTTTATAGATTATAATTATAAAAATCTTTCCGCCGCAGAGCGTCAGCGAGGAGTGGATTTGATTTTGGAAAATGAAAAAAATAAAAAAAAATAAAAAAAAGAGTGTCAGATATTTTTGTACACCTCACAGTACACGTGGCATGATCTGGTTGATGTAAGATTTATATTTAGGAGGAAAAGAAAAGTTGAATTTGGGCGGTAGCAAAATTTTCCAACCGCTTTTCGCACGCGTGAAAAGTAACTTCACATGCTTTCCACGATTCCACGTGAAATTAATTTTCTTCCTAATAATCTTTGAATAATAAATGCCCTTTTTTTCCAATTCCTTATTATTTTTATTTTTATTTTCAAAAAGGATTTACGTGAATTTATAAGTTTAGTATCTCATGATGATTTTCTCATTATTTTGTAATGTAAACTTTTGATTTTTTTTCCTATTACTTATTTATTTGTTTTTACGTGCGATATGTTTGGTGTGTAATTTTAACTTAATATAATGACCAAATTTATACTATTTTTCTTGAATTGGTTTTATGTGAAGAAACTAAGCATTCGTGTTTACTATCCAACACATTTGATAAAGTTTAGATTTTGTAAGAATTGAGGTTTTGTACCATAATTTGATAAAGACATGAACTTTCTATTAGGAGATTTTTTCTTTACTTATTTATTTCTTTGTAGTCATATTCAATTGAACAAATAACGTATCTCATGTAATAGAAATTTTATTATGCATTTAGTTATAATTTTGACCTCGTGAAAGTTTACTTTTTTTTTTCTTTTAAAGTTTTGCTTTATGATGTTTAAAAAGTTTTATTTTAGATTTGAATAAGTTTTATAATTCTTTTGACGTGAATTCGAACAAAGTTTAATGATTAATGTATTTATATTCGAACACTCCAATAATATATTAGATAAGTGTAAGTTAGTTATGTCATTAGGTATAATTCACCGCTCATAAACTAATTATGTTAACGTTTCATAATTTAAATAACAAATGATTTCTTACACCTTCCATCAGCTTCAAGTCCCTCTAACTTCGGTTTTTAATTTTATTTTGTTAGTTTTTTTACACTCTCGAGCTATTTTATTTTATATATTTTGTTAATGGTATAAACACACATGACCAAGTGAACCGAAACTTGCCTAATTTTTCAATTTTCTTAAAAAGAAAAAAAAATCATACAATTCATGTTTCTTTCATTTCTTATAGAAAAATAGAAAACTTTCTTTATATAAATATGTTAATCATTCTAAAGGATTGTACTCCCACCCTATTTTTCTTATCATATATATTCTTTCAAAATATGTATATATATACACACACACATATATTTTGTCTCTTTAACTTAATTGCATTTGTAATTCCACAACTTATTTTTATTTTCAATTTATATGTTGCCATTATATATAAGTAATATCTTTACTATAAATTATTGTACCGATATATTTCTTTATTATCTATAAACCATTTATTTTTCGAAATTAAATTGTTATTATTTTATATAATTTTATTTTTAATTTTGCATGTGAAAGCCCACGATTTTAGTGGTTAAGTGCTGTCTCATCTTGAAAAAAAAATTATTTTTTAAAAGTTTGAATCAAAATGAGTGATAATTTAAAGACTAATTATCTAATAATTAATATATAATATTATAATTTACATTTTAATTTTTTATATAATTAATAAAAATATTTTTAGATTTTTAATTAATGGTAAAAAACTATATAATTTTTGTAAGTAAAAATTTATACTTATTATTGGTTAACTTGTAAATTATTGTTACTAAATTATGAAATTTCTCAACGAAAATGCTGGACTAATATCCTATATATGTTATATAAATATCTAATTAGAAAATGCTACAAAAATGTCTAATTACATGGGAAAATTCCCAACAAATATAGCGGTGGACAATATTGATTATTTTGGATGGTAGAATGAGATCTTTCTCCATTGACATTTACAGTGGACCTAAATTATTATTATTTATTATAAATTGACGTGACAATGGTGGGATTGGACCAAACATTTTTACGTTGGAAAGAAAAATAAACTATCATTGGTTTAAAATTTTGGTCAAGTCTAAATTAATATATACAACGATCAAGATTTCATATAATCTGAAACATTACTGTAAAAAAAAAGAAATCTATAATTTTGAAACGAAAAATCACTTCAATTACCTGAAAAAACACGTCATCACTATAACACACTAAATAAAATAAAAAGGAGTAAGATTTCCAAATACACACAATTATCTAAACATATTGTTCTTTAAATCCATTCCGAAACAAAATCTTATATACCTTTATCTTTTTAGTTCAACAGTACGTGAGGTGGAGATTCGAAGCTCTGACCTTTTGATCGAGAATATATGTCTTAACTAGTTGAGCTACGTACATGTTGATACAAAATCTTATTTCTAAGTAAATTAAACTGGAATGGGTCCCTATTCGAGCAATTGCGCTAGTCATAGCGTTGTTGAACCCAGACAACAAACCCTAATTATATTGATACACTGAGTAAGCCACACAACATCGATCCTGAAAAAAAAAATAATAAAAAATGAAATGGAATTGAGTTAGTGGGTTTGAATGGGAATTTGTTGTCCAAAGTGGGGTTGAATTCATACCTACCAATGAGATTCAAAGCAAAAAGAGAGTAGTAATAGTATAGTATGGTACTAGGAAAGAAAAAGAAAACATTGATTTATTTGGATCTCTCATCATAGGAAACTTTGGATTCAAATCTTATTTTTTTTCCTTCAAAAAGCCAAGAAAGTTTCCCCAATATCCCCTTCCAAAGGCTTTGAATTTCTTTCCCTTTTCCAAACCATTCCCCCAATCACACATACCCAATTTTGCCCTATACCCAATTTTGCCCTTTTACCAAGTTACAAATCAAGTAAACAATTTGACTTTTTCTTTCTCTCTATTTTTGCAATACGAACACGATGGGCAAGAAAACCCCGCTCGTATTTTTTCAAAATGGAAACGAAAGAAGATCGAAAGTCGAGGTTCAGAACATTCGTTTTTTGTTGTTGTTGTTGCACAAAATGGATTCATATCACTGAAGTGCGTTTGGAGTTGAAGTTGATCTCACCTCATGAACTTTGTTTTTAGTGGTGAAAAAAAAAATTATCGGCCACTAATGATTTACAATACACGTCAAGAATCTTTACGCACAAATATAGATATATCTTTTTCGATGTAATAACGTGTTGAAGATAAAAGACAAATGATGAGAAATACCAAAGTCAAATAGATGTTTTTCTTTGGCTTTAATCGACGATTCTTTCCCTTTGTCTCCTCTACCCTTTCTCTCTCTAACTAGTTTTACCCTCTTTCTCTCTCTAACTTGATTTGCTTTTAAGATATGATTGCTCTTCTCTATTGGGTGTGGAGAGTGCTCCCATTTGCTTTTGTCACACCAGCAGCCATGGCTTTTTTTTTTCTTTTTTTTCTTATTTTTATTTTTTATTTTTCTCATAGGAAAGGAATATTGATTGCAAATTGGGCCCCATTTTGGGTCCAATCCAGTGGGCCCAATATGTCTTGGCCACCTCTCCATTCATCTCATTCCCTTTTAATAATGTTTGTTTTTTTGTAAAATTATTAGAATGCTGACGTGGCAAATTCCTAGAGGTTGGGCGTTGTTCAAAGTGCCTATTTTGACCCCCACTAATCAAGTCTACCAATAATTTCATTTTTCAAACTCATCTTCTTTTAATTATATATATAGTCTCTTAATTGATGGGATTTTATCCCTCAAAAGTTGTGCCTCTTTTTTTTAATAAAAAAATTTAACTATAAAGTTAAGTGGGAAAAAAGAATTCTTGATTTCTTACTAAATATATATGAATTTCTTATATATCATTAAATATAATAATAAGAATCATAAGATGTTGCTCATCTTGTTTTGAAACAATATTATCCATTTTGGGCTAAAGTTGGTAGGATTTTGTAATTTTGATTTGTGTTTTACACAAAACATCTGTTACGGACTTACATACATAAATCTTTAACATTAAGAACACTATTATCGTTAAGAAAAATGTCTCACTTGATATATAAATTATTGTAGTACGAGTATTTTACTAGTTTCTAGTTTGATATTAGCTCTCAACCAACTTTCTCTAATTAAAGCGTCTCCCAATATTTCTCCGTGCATTCTAGACATTCATATTCAATTATCTACTTGACAAAATCTTTCCAACCAAATAAAGTGTAATTATATCATCAATTATACGATCGAACTCAGGTTTCTACTTCAACTTAAAAGCTCTCCTATTCAATGGTCAAATTTAACTTTTAGTTGATCCACGGCTCTGTCTATATCTATTAAAGTCAAAGGCTTCCCATCCTATACTCTCATAGCCTTATAGAGACATCAAAATCTCACACTAGACACAAATCCTCATTTAGATAGATTTCATCTTTAAAATTAGAATTTCCATAAAATTCACTTTCTACTATACTATAAATTGTTTCATCCCAAGCGCACGTTTAAATTACTCTAATTTATCCCCATATCTCTAACAAAAACAAAACACGGAATGACTAAAAAACTAGAGGTTCCTCTCTAATAAAAAAAATTAAGGTTTTCTCTCGAGAGTTGTCAAACCACCACCCTGTTCAAAATCACTAAGTACATTTTCATTTATTCAAACCCTAATCAATTAATGCAAGTAACTATCTAATGTAATTTTTAATCTAGCACAAACATCATATTGACCCACTATAATTAAGACTTATTTGTAGCCTTTTGAGTAATGAAAATAGAGAGAAACAACTCTACAATTAATGTTATTTATTACATTTAATTGATCATAATGTTTATACCCAAACTTTAAATAAAAATTTGATGGGTGAAACCAAGACTAAAAAGATTCTTTTTTTTTTGGCCAATGGGTAAATAAGGAATAAAAGAAAAGGGGTTTGGCAATGATGATGATATATGCATGTTAGCATTCACTATGAACCCAAATCATTACACACTCTTCCATCTTTTGGTTTCCTCCTTTTCAAGAAAGGGAAAACTATTCTTCATTATTAGTTTTGGGACCTCAAAATCCTATTTCAACTACAACCATTAACTTATTAAATAATGTAATTAGGGCCTTTGATACCCGAACATAGTTCAATAGATAAAACTGTATTTATTACCCCTTTAAATGTTGATACTTCAATCTCCCATCTCTAACCAAAGAAAAAAAGAAAACGACGACTATATTTGGTACCCTCAAACGAAATACAAGCTATACAAACTTATATCTCTTAAAATTGGTCGTGTGCTAAATTTTTAAGGAGTTTTTTTTTTCAGGCAAATCTCAGGCAAATCTCAAAAAGTAAAAGGGTTTGATAAACATTTTGTTTTAACTTTGTCTTGCGTATTTATTTGCCCTGGAATATACTTTTTAAAGACGTTTTTAAAATTTTAGCCAAATTTTGAAAACTCGTTTTTTAATTGAAATTTGACTAAGAATTCAAATATATTTGAAAGATAATGCCAAAGTAAGCATAGCCTAACGATGATATACATCTAAATTATGAGTTCGATCCCACACCCCCACATGTTGTACTAAAAAAAAGAAGAAGAAGAAATTGAGAGACAGTAGGCATAAGTTTTAGAAACAGTAAACTAATACAAAACTGTTATTAAACGGGACTTAAATTTTCAAAATTGATATGATTTCAATATGCTATAACACAAAGAAATATGTTGAGTACATAAGCATAGTTCTTAAATACAAAAACACTATCAAGCACAGTTAATTACAGGTTATTGTACAAATCATAAGCACCCATCTCTTTTAACAAAGAATTTATCCCTTCAAATTTCTCCAGCCACTAGAAATTCTACTCAAGTATGCATTTTCACTACTAACCAGCATGCCAATTCGATCAATCAGTATGATGACCAAAAAGCTAATAAGAACAATTAGACACTTATGGGGCGTTTGACGTTGACCCACGGGTTCGGCATCGGTGACCTGAGTTTGTTAAGCCTGAGGTTGATCTTAGGACACTGAAAGAAAAAATCCAACCTAAGTTTAATTTGGGCATTCATAATTGGGAATTTTACTCTATCAGTTACTTGTCATCTCCATCATTGAAAAGCTGCTCATGAATTGAGGAAGATGAACCATCTCTTCCTTAGAATACTGCATTTTCTCCACCTGAAATACAAACATCATTCGTTTTCGAACAAAAATTTTCGATCCCGAATTTCAGCAACCATAGCATTCAAAAGGGAGCCACAACATGAACATCTTTGGAATCACTGTTCAGAGAAGATCAGCAAGTATATATGCATGAAAATGTTGAAATGCAGAAGATGGAAATGAAGGATCCCGAGCGACGGGCCGGGTTACTAGGACATCCTAATATATCCATGCATCCGAGGGCTTGTTGAGCCGATCTTGGGATGCAAAGATGGCATGAAAATGACAATAGAGTTCTTGGAGACGATAGGAAAACATGCCCAAAGATACTAATATATAAGTACATAAGTTGTGACACAGTTGCTGTTGAATGGCATTGCTGCTGCAGGGATGCTGATACTAAATTTTCCACCTCTCAACAACTCAAGTTTTAACCAAAAAAAGGGCAAAAAAAGATGAAAAGGAAAGGTTGACACTCAAAATAAGGTGCGGACAGGATGAGATAACCTAACTTTACTGCAAAACCATACGACAATCTCCTATGTGGTCTTCTAATGGTCCACCTCATCAAATTTTGAGTTGTTCGAGGTTCTCTAATGTCTTACTTTCTTGCTGACTGTTCGCCACTGCGGTTGTAGCTTGTTCTACTTCAGCAGGCGACGTAGTAGGCGGTGAGGGAGCGGGAATAACAGGAGGGTCTTCTTTTGGAGCAGCAGGAAAATCTTCTTTTCTAACTACAGGAGGATTTTCCTTCCGTACTGGGGGAGCAGCAAAAACAGGAACTGCTTGCCTAATAGAAACGGGTGGAGCGATTCGTACAGGAGGGACCCGAATTACTTGCTGTGGCGGTAGCTTCGATGGTTGTGGTAGTGGCGGGGCAGAATAAACGGGCATTGTTGTTCTTATTGTCACTGGTGGGGCAATACCATGGCAAGATGTCCTAAACTGCGGAACGGGAATATAAGAAAGAGCAGCTCCGGCACTGAACTTCTGGGGGCGGGTTCCCGAGCCTTCTAATGCAGGAGTTTGGGATTGTGGAATGGAGATTTTATTTGTTGAGAATGGAGCTCTGCTTCGAGGAGCTGCCTTTTGGCAAATTAAGGGAAGAATCTTTGATGTTGGAGCAGGGGGTCGTTGGGGACTAGTTGGCCTTGGACTTTGAATTTGAAGTTTTTTAGGGAATGGTATTGTAGCATTTGGATTTGACATAGCCATTTTTTCCTTTTGGCGATAATTCAACAAGGCTCGAGCTATAGTGATCTGCTCCAGCTCATCATTGTTTTCTGGTTCCGATGAAGAGCTTGCTGATTCTTTAGCCACTAGCCAAAATTAAAACAAAATCTCATCTCAGCACCAGAGCATAAAATAAATAGGCATAATGATGTAAATAATTTTCTTAAAAGTGAAATTATGCAACTTTGAACTTTGATCATGTATGCTAGCAATTGATATTATCTATTAAGAGGCAATTCATATTTTCAGATTCACATTAGAAAAACTGATTTGGCAAACTATTTAGGCTTGTTTAATAACCATTTCATGAGTTGTTTTATGTTTTTAAAAATTATGCTTGATTGCTACAATTTCATTGGTATGTTTTTCACCTCCCTTGAAAACACAAACAAAACCAAGTTTTTTTAGAAAAACTTGTTTGGTGTACAAAATTTGGCTTAGATTTTGAAAATGTATTTCAAAAGTAAATAATATAACAAAGAAATGTATGGGTGAAAATGGTGTTTCTTAAGGCTTAATTTTTATAAACAGAAATAATAAACGAAATCATTGTCAACTAAGACGTTAAGTTTTATACATGGTAGAAGCACATCAAGAATGGGATATCATAGCTTTCATAGGAATGGGAAATAATAGCTGTAAAACAAAGAACACTGCCAAAACATGTCTGCAAAGTATTCTTTTGAATGCCAATCTCCATGTTCCAGCAGATATAGTATAGCTATCATATACAAGAGGGTTGCATTATTAACTTGCACAAAACAAAATAAGATGATGTCTATTCTCTTTTTAGCTCTGAACTTACATATGGTGAACATTAAAAAAAACTCACATTGTTTTAAGGCCGACCAAGCTGCCATTGCAGCATTCTTCTCTGCTTGTTTCTTGTTCTTGGCAGGTTCTCCAGTAAACGTTATTCCAGCCAATTCTACTATCCCTGTAAAAACAGGTAGGTGACCAAGGCCTGATCTGAATGTTGTATATTGTGGCAATGGGGCTCCAACTCTTTGGGCGATTTCCTGCAGAAGGTTCTTGTAAACCCCTGTCTCATCCTGATAACAGACGAATATAGTAAGTAATTTAACTAAAATTCAGCTAAGGCAGCTCATCCATAGATATTAGCAGTATCTTTAAATTAATTCATACCAAGAACATTTTTGAGAGATGGACGAACAAGAGAAAAGTTTACAAAGACTATGCACAAGAGGATTAGTAGATTTCATAAATCTTCTCCTTTTACAGTAATTCAATGATAATATCTTATAAGCGTTTTACATTTTAGCATACAGTTACAAGGAATAACATGACCAGAAAATACTACTCAGTTATAAAAATTATTGGTATAAATACATGTCATGACATGTACTTAATATTTTCAAGTGATTAACTCTAGTAAGAATAAAAATTCATTTCAGAAACCTGATGCCCAGAAAATCTATTTCATTATCGTTAATAATACCTTCAAATAGAAGAAATCTGTAACCTAAGTTTGTAAGGAGAAAACTGCAACCCTTCAGACGAAAGGAAACAACTCGAATTCCATTTTATGATCAGTTTCTAAGGTAAGGTGCAACAAGTTTTCTCACCCTTTAATAAAGGAAGCAGGCAAATCCCATTTAACTTGAGGTAATCTCAACTTGAAGCCCATCTACATCATAATTGGATTTGTAATGCCCTCTACTGCTTAAAACTGAATCCAATTGAATTCTAAAAAGTTGAAATATTTCATAATTTTTTCAAAAATTACTTCTGTGGTTGTATACAAAAAATTAGATATGTAAGCTCCAATTATTCCATTCTAGATCATTAGTCTGTTTCTTTGCAGTTTGCATATTGAAACTCCACAAAATAGAAGTGTTTCTTCATCAGACTACCACCTTAACCACTAGAGCTCTTTTTCATGGCCACATCTATTCAGATTAAATTTGAAGTTACAACTTGAAGTTACAACTTGAAGTTTACAGGAATGAAAAAGATTAAGAACACTGCTGCTAATAGTTATATCAAATATCAGAAACATTCTTGAATTATGAAGGACATCTTTATTTCTTATTTTTTGGGAGTTGTTAATAGGGTGAGAGAATTTGAAACATATTTCATAACTTTAAACCAATTAAACTTTATTAAAACAGTTATTACTAGCCAAGAGAGAGAGAGAGAGAGAGAGAGAGAGAGAGAGAGAGAGAGAGAGAGAGAGAGAGAATCATAGTATAAGGAAATAACAAGGTATTCCGTCACAAGAAGAAATAAAAAAAAAAAAGAAAAACAAGGTAATGAGCAATAAATTACTCTAACCTAAACAACATCAATGTACCAAGCTGTGCACCAGAACGAGAAACAGAAAAAATATTGGATATTTTTGGCAACTTATCGCAAACAAATCCTCATTCAACTGAAATCACTATGGCTATAGTACAGAACGTAAAGCTCCATATCAGGGAATTTATCTTATTGGAACACGACGATGTTCAAGGAGAAAAAATTCCCCAGACTGACGGGAAATTCCTCATCTCCATCTTCAAATCCCAAGATAAACAAAAGTTTTTAAAACACAATAAATTTGACAGAGACGCATGCACACATTTCCTCGAATGGCGAAAGGGTAGCAATAAAATTTTAAAACGAAGAAAGAAGTCTGAAAAGTTCAACTATTCCTTCTAAAACTTGGGAAGAAATAATTACATACCCAAGATTTAAAGTCTCAAGACTTTATGAAGCAAAGATAATGGCAATATCCTCCTAATTTCTAATTGGTCTACTTGGATCATCTCTATCTGAAATTCAGTCTCCAACAATTTTATCACAATTCGTGTTGGATTCCTGGTCCCTGCCGTTCCTACGATACCCATCTAATCATTTATGAGATCGGAGAAATAAAATGGGCCAAAGTTGGGAGCTACCGAAATCACAATTGGACGACCGACAAACCCATTAATGAGCAAATTAATTACACCAACTTGCCCGAGAAGACTACTCCCGACAGCTGGCTCCGAGATAACAAGGTAAACAAAACTAGATACCTCTTCTCATGGAACCACCACCCCTCAAAGAGGCGTGATTACCCTAAACTGTAGGACATAATCAGAGAATTCTGGCCGATCAAAGAGATCAGAAGTCGGTCTCAGAGCTTAGAAGAAAAAAATCCAAGCTGATCCCAGGTAAATCCATCATTTCAACACCATCTCTTTTGGATCTTCACTAAACCACCGGCCGAGATATTCGCGGACTGTGTAATTTCTCTATATTACCTATTCTTTCACGCGCACAAACCGGAAATAATGCAGGAAGCTTAGAGGTGGAGAAGAAGAACAAAAATCCACAGCAAACATCAACAAGAATAAAAACCTAAAACTACTCACGAATTTTACTAACTCGCAGACTAACAAATCGATTCATAATCACAAAAAGACTAAGGAATGAAGATCAAGCAGAGAAGATAGAACAAGAACGGAAACCTAACTTCCGTTTAAAATGAAATGGCAAAAAAGACTCACCAGGATCCTAGCCGCTAGCGAATGAGGGGGACCACGGTTAGAGAGGGCGTTTAGGGCAACCTCGGCGGCCGAGTGCTCGGCCTGACGGAGAGTAGAGCAGTACTGAGGACATTCAAAGATCTCGCCATTGAAGTTAACAGTAGCCTTGAACCTTGGTGCATGGTCTGGTCCTTCCCTAATGCAGGTATAGGAGGGAAGATTGAAGCAACTCCTCTGCGCCAGCTCTTGAAGCTGGTTCTTGTACATTTCTTCTGCTCCGATTCGGCCTCACTCTTCGTTCTTCCTTCCCCAGTTCACTCAGCACAAGAACAACAAAACCTCCTCTTCCTCTTCCTCCTCCCTCCGCACAGAAAACGAAAACCCTAGGCCAGATCGGATCCGCCGTAGTCCTCCCAAACCACAGAGAAGAATCCCGCCGTCGTCGCTGACGGAGAAGAAAATCCGGCGAGATCAAGGTTTTTAGGGGTTTTTTCCCCTTCACTTCCAGAGAGAGAAAGAAGAGAGAGAGAGCCCTGAGGCTGGTTTGTGAGATGAGAGAGAAAGAGAAATTTTCTAATTGGAAAAATATTTTCAAAATTTTTTTTTCTTTATGAAAAAATTAATTATTTTTTAATTTTGTGTTTTGTCTTATTTAGAACAATATTATATTGTGGAAATATTTATTTAATGCTTTATTTGCGGGAGTCAACTGGAACGTTAGGTTGCATTTACCGCTTTGCTTCTTTTTTTTTTTTAATAATTATTAATTAATTTATAGTAAATAAGAAGAATATATATTTTTTTAAATTTGGGTTTTTATATTCACTGACACTGTACAGATAGACATAATAGAGACAATGGGGATTATTAAGAGGTTTATTAAAAAAGACAGTAAAATTGTATTTTTCATTTATGTATTTTTGACCCATTATTTTATTTCTCCCTTGTGTGTTGAAATGACAAAATTGTCCTCCAGTTCATATTTAATGTATTTTGTTATTTTGTAAAGCAAGACATTGTTTTTAATGTATTTTGTTCTTTTGTGAAGAAAAACATGGTTAATTTAGAGATCACGTGACTATGTTCAGTGATAATTAGCATATATCTTCAACTAACAGGCTGTGAGTTCGAATTTCCTCCCCACCCTATTGTAAAAAATAAAAATAAAAAATTAGAGATAGATGTGATTATGTGAAGATTGTTTTTAAAATAGTTTTGGTTTAAATTATATTTTAGTTTGTTTTTGCTTTGGTTCATTTCGGTTATTATACTTTTAATTTTTTTCATTTTAGTTGTTGATCTTTCAAACATCCTTTTTTTTTCTCTATACTTTTAAAAATTGACAAGTTTGGTCTATATTTGTAAAATTTGAACTGAAAATTTTTTAGTATAAATTTATGTCTACATTTCAAAAAATTTAGCAAGTGAAAAATCAATCTAAAATTATGATTAAAAGAAATAAGATAAAAATGAAAATAAGTTAATCAAAATGGTCTCTCTTTAAAAGTGCAGGGACCGAAATGGATGTTTTGAAAGTAGAAGGACCAACATGAACCAAAGCCAAATATACAAGGACCAGAATAGCCTTTAAGGGCCCCTTTGAACAATTTCTATTTTTGGTTTTTAGTTGTTGGTTTTTGGTTTTGTGTTTTTAAAAAACAAAAACTGTATATGTTTGATAACTATTTTTTGTTTTTTGTTTTAACAGAGAACCTGGTAACCATTTTTAGTTAATGGTATGGGTAGGAGTGAGGATACTCTCTCCCATTTTCGTGCTCGTGAAGATTGTTAGTCGGCGGTGGATGGTTCGAGAGATGTTCTCGAGAAAAATTACATGTTTTATAATTAATTTTAATAGAATTTAAAAAATAAAAAAATAGCAATAAATATATATTAATTATTTAAAAAATGGAATCGAACGGGGTCGAGACATGCATTTCCTATTTTTGGAACGGGGCACGACCATGCGGGAATTTTGTCATCCTTAGAGACATGAAAATAAGTTTAGAGAGTTGTAAATAAATTTTTTGAAGATAAATTTTAGAGAGATAAATAAAAAGATTTAGAAAAAAATTAGTGAGATAAAAATTAAAGACAAAAAGAGAAAAATTTTAGAGAAAAAAAAGTTTGAGAGAAAAAATAAGTTGAAGGAAAAAAAAAAGAAATTAGAAAGAAATAGAAAATGTATACTGGAAAATTTTAATATAACCACAACATTCAAAATATAATTTTTAGGAAAAATAAATAAATATACAGAGAAATAAAAGTTACTATGAACGAAAATTGTACGATAAAAAGAAATATAATTTTCAAAGTAAAAATAGATTAGGTATTAAAAGAAAAGTTATAATAGATTAAATTTTAGAAAAAGACTATTATAAAAATATTAAATTGTTAGAGAGATAAATGAAACTATTAGAAAAATAATAATATAGAGATGAAAAATTTGGAGAGAGATCAATAATAATAAATATTTAAAATATAAAAATTTTAGAGAGATGAACAACAAATATTGTAGAGAGAAGTTTAGAAAGAAAAAAAAAATTTAGAGAAATTTTTTTTAGAGATAAATATGAGAAAGAAAGAAAATTTGAATATTAGAAGAAAAAGCTCGATTTTGAAAAACATAAATTTTGAAAACACTTTTTTTTTTGTTTTCGAAATTTAAATAGAATTTCAAAATGGTTTTTGAAAAACAAAAAAGAGAAAACTGAATTGGTTATTAAACAATCCTATTTTTAAAAAACTAAATACTAAACACCAAACACAATAAAATGAAACGGTTATCAAACCGACCATAAACTATTGATTTTCTATTTTTTATATTGAATAATTTTGTAAAAATATATTTGGATAATTTCTTTTCAAAAGGTTTTTTTTTATTGTATTATCACAATGGCACGTGTTTCATTTGTAAATAGTAAAATTTCCATAAATATTTGCTGTAACATTAAAGGCCTAAGATTGATTAGAATCTAGATTCCGAGTTCGAAATTTGGCACCTCACAGTCAATATTTCTCAGGCATCCTTTGCGACATGAATGTGCAACATAGCATCGTGAATTGCTTTTGAGGGTGAAGATGAAAAAAAAAAATAAATCATAAGAGATCACATAAGTTAAACTACATTTGCTTATGAAGTTTTCAGTAACTGGACTACCGAAAAGTAATACATTATTAGTGTAAATAATACACGTAAATTCTTTTAAGGTTTTCTTGACTATATTATTCTATATTTGCATTATTTTAATTTTAATTTTTATTTTTAATGTGGCATGATGTTAGTTCATTTATATATCTTTTTATCTAAAGTCATTCAGTCGATTCATCTTAGTGGGGAACGATATATTCTTTTCAAACGTCTGGAAAATGGGATGAAATTTCAAAAGGTATTCGAAATGTCAACAAGAGGCTGACAATTAGATATAAATACTTTATAATCATGATTTAGAAGTGTTGAACTTTTTTGTTTAGGTTTGTAACCCTATTTTGTTCAATGTTAATAATGGTATTATTAACCGAACGTCTTTAATATTTGATTATGATATTTGACTCAGGTTGATTTTATATTCAAGTTGTCCGACTAGAGTATATTATTCTTTTACTCGTGTTAGTACAAATAAGCTATCACAATATATGTATATTGGAGAAGTAAGTATTTAACTCATTTTCTCCTACTATTCTTTTAAATCCATATTGTATAAGCCAACCTGAGTTTAATTCAGCGGATTAAGGTATATAATACGACTAGAAAGGTGTGAGTTCAAACTTCCCAACCCCAACAACACATGTAATACTAAAATAAATTCACATGGTATAAAGCAATCAAGATATGAAGAAAAAAATCTTCTACACATTTCGAATAGATGTATAAACCTAAAATCAAGCATTCAATACCTAAATGATTTTAAAACACTAGCTTTAAAGGCAACCACACATAAATCTTTTTCAATTCAGCCAAACACAATATTATTTTATGATTTATTATTTTATGCAGAAATCATATGTCAATGACCTGTTCGATAAACATTTCGTTTTTGGTTTTTGAGTTTTTTTTTTTTTAGTTTTTTAAAAACAGAGTTTTTTATAACCAATTCACTGTTTTTTGTTTTTCAAAAACCATTTTCAAATTCTATGTAAACTTCAAAAACAAAAATAAAAAAAAGGTAGTTTTTTCAAAATATCATTTTTTCTTCTATACTCAACTTTTTTTTTCTTTCTCATATTTATCTTTAAAAAATTATTTCTCACTCTAAAATTTTCATATTTTCATATTTATTATTATTTGTCTCTTTCCAAATTTTTGTGTATTTTTGTTTTTTTACCAGTTTCATTTCTACTTTTCTTTCTTGTATTCTATTTTTTCCTCTGAAAATTTTATTTTATTTTATCGTTCAATTTTCTTTCACTGTAACTTTTATTTATCTCTGTATTTATTTATTTTCTCTAAAAATTATATTTGAATCTTGTTTTTATCTCTACATTTGTTTCCACCATAATTTTTCTCTTTTTTTTATAATTTCTTTTTTTTTCCTTTAACATATTTTTTCCTCTCGATTTTATTTTTTTCTCTTTTTATCTTTAACTTTTCTTTCACTATTTTTTTTTCTAAATCTTTTTATTTATCTCTCTAAAATTTATCTTCCTAACGTGTATTTTCATGTCTCTACATTAGGGGGATGACAAAAATTTCTGCAGTGTCGGGTTCCAAAAATAGGACATGCATGTCCCGACTCCGTCTCCATCCCCGATTCCATTTTTTAAATAATTAATATATATATTTATTAAACTTTTTTATACCTAAATTCTAAAAATAATTAAAGACAATTATAAAACCGATAATTTTTCTTGAGAACATCTCTCGAACCCAAAAACGAGTTGGAGACGGAGACTAAAAATTTTTACGAGCACGAGAATTGGGAGAGTATCCCCACTAACACCCACAACATTATCATCTCTACTCTACATGAAATTTTCTCTCTCTAATTTGTATTTTCAATCTTCTAACTTTTTAAAAACAAAAAACAAAAAATGGTTATCAAACGTCGTTTTTGTTTTTTAAAAATAGAAAACAAAAAACTAAAAATAAGAAAAACAAAAAACAAAAATGGTTATCAAACAGGCCACTCAGCTATATACACGTATTTGTCTCATCCTCCCTGTCAACAAATATAACTACCAAAAATTAAAAATAATCAAAAGTACAAATACAAATATAGATGATAGGACAAAGCTCCATTCATGGCTTTTCCAATGTTACGCTAGATCATATTAATAAATAATGCTCTACAAAAATATGGTAATAAATACAAAAGAAAAGCAAAAAAGAAGATGAAACCTGTTTTGGGAGAAAGAAACAGGACATAGATGACCAACTTTTAAATTTAAATTAATAATGTATTATTTAAAGTAAAATAAATCTAGTTCAATATAATATGGTTCATGTGGCTGTGTCTTGTGGNTGTTCTACCTCTCAAACAAATATATACACCTAAAACTAGAGCGTCGATATACCACCCAAATCGTTTAAAAATACTACCTTTCAAAGCAAGGATAT